TTCGAGTACATTTTATCTCTTACCGTCAATACACAAACCTAATAAACTTTCCAGCACTGGATACCCAGACTAGATTGTTCGAGTACATTTTATCTCTTACCGTCAATACACAAACCTAATAAACTTTCCAGCACTTGATACACAGACTAGCTTGTTTAAGTACATTTTATCTCTTACCGTCAATAACAAACCCAATAAACTTTCTAGCACTCGATATCCAGACAAGCTTGTCCTGGAAAATTTTCTCTCTTATCGACAACACACAAATCTAATAAACTTTCCAGCACTCGATACCCAGACTAGCTAGTTCAAGTACATTTCCATCTCTTACCGCCAATATACAAACCTAATAAACTTTCCAGCACTCGATACCCAGACTAGCTTGTTCATGTAGATTTTATACTTACCGACAATACACAAACCTAATAAACTTTCCAGCACTCGATACCCAGACAAGCTTCTTCAAGTAGATTTTATCTCTTACCGATTTGTACAGTAAACCTACTGACAGACCACAATATCTTCACTATAGAAACTAGGATTTGTACAGTAAACCTACTGACAGACCACAATATCTTCACTATAGAAACTAGGATTTGTACAGTAAACCTACTGACAGACCACAATATATTCTCTACAAAAACTAGGATTTGTACAGTAAACCTACTGACAGACCACAATATCTTCACTATAAAAATTGGGATTTGTACAGTAAACCTACTGACAGACCACAATATCTTCACTATAAAAACTAGGATTTGTACAGTAAACCTACTGACAGACCACAATATATTCACTATAAAAACTGGGATTTGGACAGTAAACCTATTGACAGACCACAATATCTTCACTATAAAAACTGGGATTTGGACAGTAAACCTATTGACAGACCACAATATCTTCACTATAAAAACTAGGATTTGGACAGTAAACCTACTGACAGACCACAATATATTCACTATAAAAACTGGGATTTGTACAGTAAACCTATTGACAGACCACAATATCGTCACTATAAAAACTGGGATTTGTACAGTAAACCTATTGACAGACCACAATATCGTCACTATAAAAGCTGCAACCCCACTTACACTAAACGGGATACTGCCTATAGTCAAGCTCTCCGAATGAAAAAAATCTGTTCAGATGAAACAAATTACAGAAAACACACCAAGGATCTAAAATAATCCATGACACAAAAAAGGATATAAAGATACTGAAATTGACAGAAATATTTTAAAAAAGCTAACGACACTCAACTAAAAACCATCCTTACACAGTGTAGTAATAAAGTTTCAATCAGAATTCTTGTATTTATTACCTATCACTTTAAACTCAGAAACGGTACCCGCATTCTGAAAAAAAACATTTTCATCTACTGTACCTGAATGATCGCTTTTTCAAATATTTCCTGAAGCTCCCGTTGTCGTCTCCAGGAGGAACAGAAGTCTTAAAAATAACCTTGTCCATGCAAAGTGAATTACACTCCATCAAAAAATGGTTGTCATCCATGTAATCAAGCTTCAAGTTTTTAAAAATTACCGATTCTTTTTCCGACAAATATGACCAGAGAAACTTTCAAATTTCTATAGAAATCACACGTACAACACAAAATACCATTTACGTCATACAGTGTAAAAAATGCATTCACCAGTATGTAGGACAGACCCAAACAACTCTTAGAGAACGTTTCAACAACCATAAATCTTCTATTAACACTGAAAACCACCTCCCTGTTGTCCAACACTTTAACCAACCCGGTCATTCTATTACTGATGTAACTGTGATCAACATAGAAACCGATTTTAAAACTAAAGCTGTTAGAAAGAGAAGTCCATTAGATTACAACTTGAAAAAAACAAACCCTCACGTACAGCCCTAGTGAAAGTTGTGTCCTTCTTGTGAAAAGAGTACATTTACTTAAAATTATGTTATTGTTGTTGGACATATCATAGTTACTTTTCTAATTGTCTGAATCTTAAATACTCAAAATGTGAATTTTGTTTTTGCTGTGACTTAATAGATGGCGCCACATTATATTTATTCCTTCGGTCACATACATAGATACACGCTACGTCCATTATAGTAGGATTAGAGATAAAAACTTTATATTAGTGACAAAGAACAAACTAAATGATCGGAAACCACTAATTCCAGGTTCCAGACTTCATTCCAAAAGGTTTAATATTACTGAACATGAGGATTTCATTATATCTTTATTGATATAATTTGTAAATATAGCACTAAAAAATAAAGTGTTTAGGTTTGAAATTAAGCATAAAGCTACACAATGGGCTACCTGTACTCTGGCCACCATAGGTATCGAAACCCGGTTTCTAGCGTTATAAATCTGCAGACATACAGCTGTCCCGATGGGGGGGGGGCAAAAATACTGTACTTAAAAAAACGTTAGTTTTTTCAATGAAGGGTACCACTTTTAATATATAAAAACATTACAGTTTGTATCAGTACAATCCGAACACTTTTCTCGTATAGTACTTCACAAAAAATGTTCACATTTACTAAATTAATTTCAATGAGATATGAAAGCTACGATTAGTAATTAGTAGTACAAACAGTCGCCCGTAAGGTGGCGTTTCTGCTAGTACTTATAACCTATTTATGATAATTTCCATGTTATCTTTTTAATTATATCTGTTGAACATTCCTTTGTAAATCAATCTTCATATCTCACTTTCATTTTTACTATATTAACATTTCGTCTAGTTTCTCTGGACCATTTTTCTTTTTTAAAGCGATACATTTCTAGCTTCTTTACGCCTAACATTTTTGTTTTCGATAGTGTTGCACCAGAACATATTGTTGCGTCATCGAGTCACATGACTACTGTGACGCAACGTTTCTAGAACTATCATGTACTTTGGCGAATGTTCTAGTTCTTACTAGATATAGGGTAGGCTGGTATATAAAAGAGGGGAATGTAATGTCTGTGTAGAGTGTGAGTAATTGAACTGCAGTCAGAAGTATTATTGACGTTCGTTGATATAGCGTTGTTTAGCGCGATTGTTGAAGTTGAGTGTATCGGTAAAGTTGTATTCGGAAAGAATAAACCAGTTTTATTAAGTAAGGACTTGTGTTGCTTAAGTTTCGTCGGAACGAAGTTACGGAAAGTTAATTAACAAACGGAGACGTAACAATATGTTTTGGTGTCAGCAAAATTAGCTTGTAGGTTTTAATATTCAGCTCTTTCATCCAGGCCTAATTCGCCATTATTGTGGCATCATTGTCGAACGTTTTTTATCATACACTCGTAGCTAAAAATTTAATCAGAAAAGCCGTCAGAATAATGTTCCACGACATTTAAGGCTTAATTATAG